AATTTTATAATAAAAAATAAAAAATAAAATTTATTAACCTTAAATTTGATTGGCTGCTATATATAGGGTCGCCATGGCAACAGGTCTCCATAAAAAATTTAACAAATTTTTATATAGATTAAATATAAAATGTCAAGAAAATACAATTTGAAGTTTGCAATTTTTTATAAAAATTGTTATATATTTTCTTGATATTCTATAAACTGTATTAAGAGGTAGTTTGCTATTAAAGGGTATAAGAATCATATAAATATTATAATAAAAATTGGCAGGCATTATTCATAAATATTAATAATAGCTAAAATCTCAAAAGTTTTTCACTAGAATATTATGAAAACTATTTTTTTATTAAGTAAATTTTCTTTAACCTTTTAATTAAAGTTGTAGAGAAGGTTTTTATGATTTTAATGATGATAAAATTGCTAAAATTAACCCAGTATATCTTAAAATATTAATGATTTATATTTTATAATTATATGAAATTTTCTTTGTAAATTGGCAAAGAAAATTTCATATGATTATGAAACATAAATCATTAATATCTCATGGTGTACTGGGTCAATGTTAACAATTTTATCATCATTAAAACTGCAAAGACCTTCTTTACAACTTAAATTAGAAGGTCAAAAATAGTTTTCATAGTACTCCTAGTAAAAAACTTTTGGGATTCCAGCTATTATTAAAATTTATAAGTAATGCCCATTGATTTTACTATGAAAGTTATATCCTTTAGCTGCAAACTATCACTTAACATATCCACCAATTGGTTTCACCCCAAAATTAGCCAATCATGATTGAGAATTATTTGCTATTAAAACTTATTACAAAGTGAGTTTTTACAACAACAGTCTTTTAACTTACTTTTAATCCATAATTAAGTATATAGAATATTTTAATATTTACATGTTTAATTATTGGCATATTTATATGTTTAATTATTAGCTGAAAGTAAGTTAAAAAGGTAGTTTTTATGAAAATTGCTTCCGAATTTACCTTACCCATTATACAACCGATCGTTCAATGACAAACCGATCCTTCACTATCCGAAAATACCCGAACACTTCAACAACTAGTGATAGTGCTTTCCTTTTACAGCTTGGCGTAACTGTTCTTTGAATATTTATTGCTTATTTATCTCATATAGAGGCCAAAAAACTATTTATTTGAAGGTTTTCGTTTGTTATTCTTTACGTCATTTAATAGCAGAAGTTGGTGTAACGGTTTATCGAAAAAAGACTACTAAAAATCAAATCGGTGGATATGATCTATTTAGAAATTTCGCATGAGAGTTTAGTGTATAGCATAATTTAATGTAATAGAAAGCTTTTTTCATAACCCGAAAATAATAAAAGACTGAAATTTATCGAAACTGTAACATTGCCGCAGTAATTTATGAATGTCACAAAAAATATTTACTATATAATTGAATTTTCACATAGGACGATTTACATAGTGCATCGAACACCTCACCATGACGTTGATAACAATGAATTTTTATCGTGAAGCCTCTAATACATAATTATATCTATGTAATCTAATTGGTTAAACAATAAAATTCTAGAAAAATTTTTTATTATATATTTTTTATTATGACAAGCCAGGACGACATTCTGGCATGTCATTTGCCATCTGGCATGCCGAATAACGTATTATGTTACCACTAAATCCATGACCTAAATATTTTACACGTGCTTTGTTAGCTTTAATTTATGCACAGAATTATGCATTTTTGATGTCCTGTTTGGTTTTCTTTTTAAGAATTTGTGTTCCTGGAACTCCACTTGTCAGCAGCGCACAGGATTGTACATTTTTGATGTTCAAGGCTTTTTTATATGCCCAACGTTCAAATCCTACGTAAAATGTCCAAGCATATTTATGCAAAGATACATAGTTATATGTAAAATTAAGTGCTTAACCTTTTTACTTAATGAATTAAATCGAGTTGTTATACGTAGTAAAATTTTGAGTTATTAACTTTTTTTTCTTTTCGTATGACATATGTATTCAAGATTTTTGCCCAAATGTGTCCATTGACATTTCTGACCGTGTACACTATACCATTTTCAATTATTCACTGCATATCGATATACGTACGTACGTACCAAATTTTAATTCTAATAATAGTCTATACTTAGTTTTAAAATTAACTAATTGGTTCTCATGAACTGGTCGTGCCAGTTTCTGTAAATCCTTAAAAAAAATTTTATACGTATTAAAAAGTTAACTAATTGGTTCTCATGAACTGGTCTTGTCAGTCTTTGTGAGAAAATTTTATATTAAAAAAATTTTTCTTATAATGTTTTAACATTTGTCTAATACGTAATAATTAATAAAAATAACGATAACCATAACGATAATTAATTAACTAATAAGGGTTTGCAAGTCACAAAATTTAAAAACTAAATTGCTTGGCAAGTCACTTAAAATTCATGCGAAACAATTAATATTAGAAATGAAATGAAACTGAACACCATAACCTTTGATATACCATGTGTGATTTATTTGGTGACACCAATTGTAAAAAAAAAATTTATCATACCTTTATTATTATGCCTTTATGCATCCTGTGTGATCAAAAACTGGACAAATCAATGTGTGGTATCCAGTAAACAGTTGCATGTCATATATTTTGTGCTATGATTTAAATAATAATACTATAAAATTTAAAGGCATACATGTGTCTCGAGACACTGCGTCTTTAATCAAATTGTACGTCTAAATGTATCAATATAGGAACACACTAATTCACTTTATATTATCTGATCTTTCTTTTCCCTCATCCTCAAAACTTATATTTCGACCGAGGGAGGAATATACTCTCTCGGTGTACTTACATTCATTGACATATCCCTCCAGGGATTTATATCATACATTCCTTGTTAAAATTTCTCCTTTTGCCAAAATAAAATCCAAAACGTAACAGCGTATGCTACGTTGTTTCAAAATTTGTAGATATTAATAACATATGTTAAAAATCTCATTTACATTACTATTGGAATAAAAACATGGCTGGACATCCAAACAACTTTTCAAGTCAACAATCATCCAGGGTTCATCCACAACAAGCTTATCATCAACAAGGATACTCACCTCAGGGAGGGCACCAAGGGTATCAGCAAGAATATCCTCCTCAGGGAGGACGTCAGCAAGAGTACTCTCCTCAGGGAGGACGTCAGCAAGAATACTCTCCTCAGGGAGGACGTCAACAAGGATACTCTCCTCAGGGAGGATACCAACAAGGATATTCTCCTCAAGCAGGGCATCAGCAAGGGTATCAATCGGATTACTATAATCAACGAAATAACACTTCTTCACCTGGTGTGGATTACTATAATCAACGAAATAATACTTCATCACCTGGTGTGGATTATTATAACCAACGAACCAACACTTCGTCACCTTCATCACCTTCATCACCTGGTGCGGATTATTATAACCAACGAAACAACACTTCATCACCTGGCTCGGATTATTATAAACAACGAAATAACATTCCACCAGCTGGTGTACAAAATCATTCATTGCAAAGACAGCAGAATTGGCCTGAACATCATGCTGTAAACTTAAGTGATCGTTCTTTTAATGATAAGGCTAATAAAAGAAAGGTTAGTGAGAAAAAAGTGAATGTTACAATTGAAAGTGGTCATCACGTGATAAGGTGATAAGGCACTTACTCGTGACGTAACGTGAATTAACTTTTTTTTATAGTCCTTCCGCCACATTGAACTTACTAACGGGAACTTGGTACTTGATTGTCCGGTGCCAGACAAAGTACTTCGTAACGTGCGTTTTACGAAAGGAGATGAATTTGAACATATGAGATACACCGCTGTCACATGTGATCCCGATGATTTTGTTAAAAACAAATATTTGCTCCGACCTCGTATTTACGGACGAGAAACAGAGCTAATGATTGTTATGACAATGTATAATGAAGATGATAAATTGTTTATTAAAACCATGTCTTCTGCTATCAAAAATATTTCCTACCTTTGCACAAAAAAAAGATCAAAAACATGGGGTAAACATGTTTTTTCTGTTTTTTTTTTAAAAAAAAAAACCTAGTAATAAATCAAGAGATAAATCTAACTTTTTCACTTCTTATCTAGGGGAAGATGGTTGGAAAAAGGTAGTGGTAGTAATCGTCTCCGATGGACGTAATAAAATTAATCAACGCGTATTAAAAGTTCTTGGAGCTATGGGTGCTTATCAAGATGGTATTATGCAAGACAATGTTGATGGAAAACCTGTTACTGGACATCTTTTTGAATATAGTTCTCAATTAATGGTTGACAAAGAATTTGGCATTCGTGGTTTGGACAAAAATGTGTCACCTGTACAAATCTTGTTTTGTTTGAAAGAAAAGAATGCCAAGAAGTTAAATTCGCATCGGTGGTTTTTTAATGCTTTTGCCGCTCAATTAAAGCCTAATGTTTGTGTTTTACTTGACGTTGGTACTAAACCTTCCGGTACTTCGATTTACCATTTATGGAAAGGTAAATTTTTTGATATAAAATTATAATTTATTATACGAGCTAAAGTATTTATTAACCCAATTTTCTTTTATTTATTAGCCTTTGATCGCGATCCAGGAGTTGGAGGTGCTTGTGGTGAAATCAAAGCCGAACTTGGAACTGGATGCATGAACCTTATTAACCCATTAGTTGCATCCCAAAACTTTGAATATAAGATGTCCAACATTTTAGATAAACCTTTAGAGTCTGTGTTTGGTTATATTTCTGTGTTGCCTGGTGCTTTCTCAGCTTATAGATACCAAGCATTATTAAATTCTCCATCTGGCAAAGGTCCTTTGGCTTCATACTTTAAAGGTGAAGCTATGCATGGTTCTAATGCTGCTAATGCTGGTATTTTTGAAGCAAATATGTATTTGGCTGAAGATCGTATTTTATGTTTTGAACTTGTTGCTAAAAAAGATAAATCTTGGAAATTGAAATATGTTAAGGTATAAAAAATTTAAATAGTCGCGTTTACTTTTCATAACATAAAAATATATATATATATATATATAATTTTATTTTTTTCAATATTTAGGCTGCTAAAGCTGAAACTGATGTTCCAGACAATGTAGCTGAATTTATTTCCCAACGTCGTCGTTGGTTAAATGGATCTTTCTTTGCAGCTTTCTATTCTATTGCACACTTTACTAGAATTTGGTCTTCTGGTCAACCTTTTTACAGAATGATCTTGTTACAAATAGAGTTTATATATAATGCTATTAATTTAATTTTCAATTGGTTTGCTTTGGTAAGATATAAAAATCTTTGAAATTCAAATATTTTTTTATATGCAAAAAATTAATTAATTAATTTATTTATTTTCTTAGGGTAATTTCTATTTGGCATTCTTCTTCTTAACACAGTCTACCATCGCAACTCTCGATCAATATGGAAGAGAATTGTTTAATTTTGCGCGTTCTCTTTACGTGATGGTTATAGTCACAATTTTCATTTGTTCTATGGGTAACAGACCTCAAGGATCAAAAAAGATATATACGTTGTGTATAATTATATTTGCATTCCTAATGTTGACAATGATGGGTTGTGCTGCTTACACTGTATATTTAAGTTTCAAAGATACTAATTTAAAGAGTCTTACGGATATCAAAAACGCACTTAAACAAGCAGCGTTCAGAGATATCGTAATTTCATTACTATCAACTTATGGTCTTTATTTTGGTGCCTCAATAATTCACTTGGAACCCTGGCATATGTTTACTTGTTTAGTTCAATATACATTACTTATTCCATTTTACGTTAACATCCTAATGGTTTACGCGTTTTGTAACACACATGATGTTTCATGGGGAACAAAAGGTGATAATGGAAGCACTGGTGAATTAGGAAGTGCCCATGCGGTATCTGGTAAAGATGGGAAACAAATGATGAAAGTAGAAATGCTTCATGAACGTGAGGATATTAATGCGGCATATGACAATTTGGTTAAAGATCTTAGAATTAAAGTAGTCGAAGAAAAAAAGCATAGAGATGCTGCAACTAAGAAAGAAGATTATTATAGAATGTTTAGAACTAATCTTGTTCTGGCTTGGATGTTTTCTAATGCTATTCTAGTAGTGTTCTTTACTTCAGATACTTGGAATAAGTACATTACAGAAAAATCAAGTGGAGAGGTTGTCATTAACCCATATTTAACCTTTAGTAAGTATTACTTTTGGGTAAATATTCATTTATTGACTTGTTTTACCTATCTAATTCTTTATATTTTTTTTTTCACTATTTATAGTTTTTTGGTCCGTTACTGGTCTTTCTGCATTTAGAGCATTCGGTTGTGTATGGTATTTAATTCTTAGAGTAATATTTGGTTAGAATGTTAGAGATTTCATAAATCACATTCCTACATTATATCGATTATAACCTTTTTCATTATATCCGTCTTATATAATACGAGTGCTTATAAATGTTTAATTTATTAATATATATATATTTATGTATAATATAAAATATTTTTTTTTAAAAAAGAATCAGTTATCATTTTTTGGTATAAAGATTTTATTTAATCTTAATTTTACAAATAAAAAAAAAAAAAAAATTTTACATCATAAGCTGAAGTTTATTTAAAGTTAGGGCGCTTTCTAGGATTAGAAACTTCGTTATAGGCAGGGATGTACATTTTTGATGTCCAAAGGCTTTTTTGACACGTCTAACGTCCAAACGTCCAAGTGTCTAAAGCTCATCTAAGTTTTGATAATTAAAAAATCTATTTTAAAGAAACATGATTATATATTTTATTTCATTTTTACTTAGAAAGTTGAAATAGGTTATTTTAATAAAATTTTGAGCAATTTAAATATTTAAAAATGTTCAATATGTCCAAACTTTGTCCAAAGGCTGTCCCTGGTTATAGTGCTGAAAGCTTCACTTAGAGCCCAAAGTAAAAAAAAAATTTTTTATCATTATTTGTCACGGCTGATGCTAAAACACTAACGTATTTGTTTATCTCAAAGAAGGTAATTCACTTTTACAGTTATAAGCAACAAAATTAATGTAATTAATGTGGTGTTCTTGCAAAGTACATCTTTTAATGCTTTTTCTCCATTTGGTCCAAAATCATTATTACAAATATCCATATGTTTATTGCAAAGTGCATTCGCTAATGCATTTTTTCCTTCTATACCAAGACTATTTCCTCTAAGATTCAAAGAATCAATGCGATGTTCTTGCAAAGTGCACCTGCTAGCGCTTTTCCACCTTCTATTCCAAGGTTATTATGAACAATTTCAAAGAAGTTAACGTGGTATTCTTATAAAGTGTATTTGCTAATGATATTCCTCCTCCTGATTTAATTTTATTATGACGTGGTGTTATTCTGATAAGATTCAAAGAAGTTAGTTGGTGTTCTTGCAAAATACATCTACTAAAACTTTCCATTTTCTTATTCAAGATTATTATCACTAAGATCCAAAGAAGTCAGCGTGGGTTCTTGTAGAGTACGTCTGCTAACGTTTTTCCTACTCTTGATCCAAGATGATTCAATTCAAGTTTTGTTCGCCACAAGATTCAAAGATATTAGCGTGTCGTTCTTGCAAAGTCATCTACTAATGCTTTTTCTTAATTATTATATTCAAGATTCAAAGAAGTCGGTGTGATGTTCTTGCAATGTGTATCTGCTAATGCCTTTTCCTCTTCCGGTCCAAGTTCATTACCATTAAGAATCAAATCTTTCAGGATATTGTTCTTGCAATGTAAATCTGCTAATGCTTTTTCTCCCTCTGATCCAAGTCGTAAAATCTAAGATTGTACTGTATATAATTTATTGAAGAATAAAACCAAATGATTAAACAGAAATAGAGTTATATTTGTAAAATGGTTTAACTTCAAATTATTTGTATTATTTCTATGTGTTATAAATACATTTTAAATTGTGTTAAATATTGCGTTATATGATCGTTATTTAATTGAAAAATAAAAATTTATCGTTCGTAACAGATTTTGGTGGCAATACCGATATGATACTGTTACGGGGTGAATCGTAGGTTTACTTAGTGTAAGCACGAAAATATAGGTTTTATACAGAATAAGGCATTCGCCAGAGGCGTGACGTTGGTGATTTGACAATTGTTTATTTTATTAAAGGTCTTTGACCAGGTGATTTATTAAAGGTGTCAGAAAGAGGTTATTATAATCCTGTAGGATGATATGTTTAAGAAAGGCGAAATGCTAGAGCTTTTATAGCTTTAGCGAATGTAAAGATTCAAGGGGCTTAGGGGTGAGTCATATATTACATCTTTAACGAATTTAAGGAAACTATTTCTAAGCTAAGGGGCTTACAATGATAACTTACAACATTATTATAATAAAGAAA